TAATTTTTTATAGTAAAATATAATTATTAGTATAAATAATTATTTTTTCATGTAGTATGATTATTTACTTATTTTTAATGTGATGATTGTTTAGGAAAATAAATATTTTAAAGAATTTAGTTTACATTACTAATTTTGTGTCAAAATGCCTAAAGTATGGCCAATATGGCACTACTTTGACAAAAACACACCTGGAGAGGGAAAAGCTGCTTGCAAGCATTGTGACAGTGTACTCAATACACCACAGCGCTTAACTTCTACTGTTCATATGCATCTTAAAGGGAAAAATCCAGTTGTTAACACACAGTTTGAGGTAAACAAAAAGAGAGCTGCAGAACAAGAATTGCCTAAGCAAGCAAAAAAAGCAAAAACTACTTCTGGTCTTGCCTGAAAACCCTCAATCACCAAAACATTTTTAAGCCAAACTCATATGATGCCTCAGACTCTAAACAAGTAAAATTTAACTACAATCTTATGGCCATGTTGTGCACAACCAATTCAATCTAGTATCCACAGATGGTTTTGTTAGATTTATTAAATCAATTAACTCAAAACTCACAATCAAAGACTATACAAACTATTATCGGAAGTACCTCCCTGAATTATATTGCAAAGTAAAAAAATCACAGATGATTTCAGCAAAGATGTTTCTACTCTCACTGTTGTAGCATTTACTACAGACATGTGGACCAGCAGAAATAATGACTCCTACAGTGCTTTGACCTGTCACTAAATCTTAATAAACTTTCAGTTCAAATCATTTCTTGTTGGAATGGAGCCATTCAGAGAGGAAAGGCTTACTGGGCAAGCAATTTCAATCCAACTTGATACCCTAATTGAAGGTCTCAACCTTCTTCCAAGGAGCAAACACACAGGTGGTACATTAGTGAAAGAGGTTCAAATGTCATCTTAGCTGTTGAAAAAAAGCCTAGAATTACATGCAGAGATTCACTGTGTTGATCACACTTTGCACTTAGTTGTCGCAAAGAGCATTGACAAAAGTGACCTTATCAAAGAAGCTGTAAAAAAATGTTGTGACTTAGCAGCTCACCTCCATTGAAGTACTCTGTTGTGTACTAAAGTGAAAAAGACTGACCTAAAAATTAACTTCAAAAAAGTCATCTTACCATGCAAGACAAGATGGAACAATCAGTTTATGTGTTTTAAGTCTAGATATCAAGATATCTTTTTAAGTTCTAGATATCAAAGAAGCGTTAAAGGTCTTTATGTGAGAAGGACACACAATTGAGGATAAAGTCCCAAACAACACCCATTTCAAAGTATTAGAAGAAATCTTACCAGTTCTTCAAAAATTTTATGACTTCTATGTCAAAATTTCTGCTGACAAAATTTCTATAGTTCACCTGATCATCCCAGGAATATACAATCTTCACAAATTTCTATGTGTTTGCTTGATATGATTTACTTTTTTATTTTAATATATTCATTATGAAAGCTCTATACTTTTCGTGACTAAATGTTTGTGTGTGTGACATGTTTTTATTTGTGAGTATTATTGAATAATTTTTGTTTTGTCTTTTTTATTGTTATTTTTTAATGAAGTATTTATTTTACTTTTATTGTTTTATTATGATTATTGATATTAAGATTTTCTTATTTTCTTATTTTCTTATTATTTTATTTATCTTATTAATTTTCTTATTATTCCTATAACTTTTTATTTATCATCATTATTATTATCATTATTATCAATTCTATTTCATGGTATTTACTTAAGATTAGTTTTTAACTCTTTGTAAATGACCTCAATTGTACGATCTTTTATTGAAAAATATATTGATTGATTGATTCACAGGTATGCCACAATTCGAATTTTGTGACAAAAAAATGAGGAGTACATCAGGCAGTTTGGAACTGTTATTAATGAAAATATCATGAAATACTATCTAGAAAATGGCATGGAAGATTTCACTTATTCCATTGCTCGCATGCATGACCCGTGCTACAAAGGGTCAATATTTATTTGAATATTTGCTATTCGATATAATACAGTTTAAAATCAAAGATGAATATTCGTTAAACTTTTTTATTGAAGTTGAACAATATTCCTATTTACTATTTGCTATTTGTTTATTGAAAACATATTTGTCGGAGCTCAGTCGAAACTTCTTAACAAACATTTTTATATTAGCATTTTTTACTTTACTAATGTTTTTAAATTAGCGAAACACTTTTAAATTAAGTAACAATTTACTAATAATTATTTTTTTAAAAGTATTATTGACAGTTGTACAAAACATTCAATGTATTATTGCACGTGCATGTACAAAACATTCAATTAACCTTATGTTCATACTAAAACTCAAAGAACATTTTATAAATTTGTCAAAAAAAATTTTTTAACTTATCGCGTAATATTTTTTAAAGAACTCAAAGAATTTTTCAAAAATTTTGCTTTGGAGTTGTTGTCGGAGTCGGAGTTGTACTCAAAAAATTTCAACAACTGGAGTCGGAGTCATAGTTGTACTCAAAAAACTTCATCAACTGGAGTCGGAGTTGGAGTCGTTATTTTTTTTTACGACACCACACCCCTGCTTTCTAAGACAGTTTAAGTCTCTTTAGCGTATGGTAATATAAGAATCATTGAAGTTAATACATTTAAAAAGATAAAAAAAATTTTGTTGAAAATAAAAGACAAATGTTTTCATTACAATTAAATAAGTTTGATCTTTAATGCTTTTATATTATTGAAACACTTTTTAATAAAGTAACAAAATACTACTAATGAATTTTTATACTAATGGGCCATTTATAAAGGACGTCATCCAAATAGGGGGGGAGGGGGTCGAGATAAAAAAGACAAAAAAGACAAAAACAGGACAGGGGTAGGGAGGGGGGAGGTTGTCAGAAAAAGACGTCACTTTTAAATATGTATTTTTAAGAAGATAATGTATGAGAATATTTTTAACTTAATTTTTCAAAGGTGTAGCAGTATCATTGCAAGATGAAATATTTTTGGGGGTTTAAAATGGGGAAGGGGGTCAGGATATATATATATATATATATATATATATATATATATATATATATATATATATATATATATATATATATATATATATATATATATATATATATATATATATATATATATATATATATACATATGAGGTCTTTTACTAAGCTGTCAAGCCGTGTTATTCCTCTGCTTTTAAATGAGGATATTACTGGAATTTTAAATATGTTCGATTTATCAAACTTAATTACAATTCTTGGTTGTACTCAACGTAAACAAAGTTCATGTTTAAAGCGTTTAAAGCTAAGTGAAAGTTTAAAACATGGATTAGCTAATAAAATGACTGTAAAATGTTCTTGCAAATGGGAGCATTCATTCATTTTGGACATCAAAAAAACTGACATTTATGTCTCGAGGGTTTGATATAAATTTACAGAATAGTATACTCAATGCGGTCAAGGGTTTGTTGGTATTAATCAAATAACTATATCAAGGTTGTTTTTAAGTTAAAAGTGTTATGTTTGTTGCCACTCAAACTATGACGCAGTTCAAGAATTCAAGATGCAAGAATTAAAAGAGTTTTCCAAAAATCCACCACAAAATAATTTTTATGATGTACCTGTTTCATGTGATGACACCTGACAAAGAAGAGGATTTTTATTACTAAATGGAGCAGTTAGTTGCATTTCATTGGACACAGGTAAAGTTTTGCCCAAATCAACATTTGTAGGTTTACAACAACCTTCTTTGAGCATCTATGATACTATATCTAACTTTAATACTGGAGCTAAAGCTGTTAATTTGTATGAAAGGCTAGTTCCAGGATTTTATACCAATCTTGGATGTTATAAAATCAATACCAAAGAGATAAAAAGTTTAATAAAACAGTAATTAAAAAGTAAAAATGTTCTCTCTCGTCAAATTAGAGAACAAAATAAAAAAAAAGATGATTGAAAAAAGAAAAATAAAGGAAAAATCTATAAAGCAGGATTATTTTAAAGTTAATTTTAAAGATGTTGTTTTCTTTTTATTTAGTTTTTATTCTGGATATGCTGTTTTCTTATTTTTAGTTTTTTGACAAAAATTTTTCATGTGGTATATTTTTTTCATATAAAGTTATAGATAATATAGATGTTGTATAACTTTCCATTATCAATGCACCTTTTAAATTGATTTTATTAAGCTTAGAATTAAAAAAAAGAAATATCATCTTACTATAATTCTTTTTACAAAATGTTTTATGTTTTACTTATTTTCTCAGATTGCATTTTTTCCCAGATTGTATTTTTCCAATATTAATAGAATTTGGAGGTAACTCTGGTTCTTTTATAGCTTTTAAAGTAATAATATTTACACAACACACATAATAGATTGTTTTATGCAATAATCCAACAGTTTAATTTAAATATTTTGTATTGTCTGTGAGTCTTGTCTAAAGTTCAATTTTATATTAAAATTTAGAAAAATATTGTTGATTTTTTAAAAACTCAAACAGGCATCCTTTCCGAAACAATATTTCAATTTTTTTTGGTTTATTGCATGCATCTATTGTAATTAAATGATGTTAGAAAGTTTCCTTGAAAAACAGTTAACCAACCCAAGTGATTTAGCTTTCCAAATTTCAATAATTTATAAGTTTCGCCATTTTGAATTTGTAACCATGGCAACAGCTGACATTTTTTATATATATTTTTTAAACACTATTATAATATCCTTTTCAATAAATACCCTAAAAATTCTTTGAACTTGGTAGCAGTCGAAAAATTTTTGAGAGGGTTGAGCCCTCTTAAATGTATGTAAGCTTTTGTATATTAAAAAGCATACACTAAAAGAAAGAGTAATTTTAATTTAATAAAAAAATTACTGAGAGCAGCACCAAAATTAGGAAAATGCTTTTTTTTTTTTAATTTCCTTACTTTATACTGTGTGAGTAGCCAATCGGAAAAAATGCCTCCACCTAAGTTTTTACCCTAGGTATGCATATTATATTTTCATTAAAAGTTAAAATGTTTCTTTTTTTCAGACTCTGCAATAGTAAATTAAAAGAAAAGCGCAATTTGTACGCGGAAAATAACGATAATATTGTGTACGACACGTTTCGTGAACTTTACACTGCTATATTTTACAAAATCTTTTCTATATGGAACAATGAGGCAAAGACAATGGCTGATTCTGGTTATGTTTTAAAAGATGTTGAAGATAGTGCAAAAAAATGTCCTCTAGATATTATTAAGTTATACAAAGGTTCTAATAAAAGCGACTTTCAGGTAAATAAGATCGATAAAATTGAAAATTTTGTTGGAGTTGAGGATCTATGAGTTTTATGATCAATCTGATGATAATGAAAATGAAAGATTTTTTTAAAAGAAGTTTTATAAAAACTATTAATATATAAAATTATTTAAATTAGTTAAATTTATTTAATATATTTGTTTAATGAAACAATGTTTTAATTTGAGTAATCAAAATATAGAAATATAGAAACTATAAAAAGTATAAAAATATAGAAAAAAAATTACTATACTATATATATCATTCTTCTCCGTTCGGTCAGCGCTTTCGCGCACAAGCCTCTTCGCGCTGGCCTGCAAAAACTTCGGCGAGTGCATAAAAAAGGACTTGCCATGAGCTTTTTATTCTTATAAAAAAATTAAGGTTGTTCAATTTTGCAAAAGTTGAGTTTTCGATTAAAAAAAAAACTTTTCGAAACTCTATTTTTGTTTCGGTAAGTTGGAAACGATTTCTAATTACTTAATTTTGAACCGAAATGAATTTCGCTTTACGAAATTGACGATATTCGATCGATGCATTTTTTAAATTTCAAAATCCTTAAAATAGCTCCAAAATTATTTTTTCTCTTTCGAAATTTTGGAAATTGTATCGAAATATATTTACATTATTAAAAATTTTCCGAATCAATTTTTCACTTTCGAAACTATAATTTGTATCGAAATATTTTTATATTATCGAAATTCTAAAAACCGCACCCAAACATTTTATCACCTATAATTTTGTATCCAAAAATATTTATGCGATCGAAATTTTTAAAATGGCACCAAAGAAATATTTCACTTTGATATTATCGAAATCATAAAAACGATATCAAAAGAATTTTTTTTCGAAAATCTTAAAATCACTTTAAAATATTTATTTTATTACATTAATTCTAAAAACTGCATCTAAATGAATATTTATAATAACAAAAAATTAAAACTCGGACAAATTTGCAAAACAAATATATAACGTTGTTCTAAGGACCTGTTCATATGTATGAAAAACATTCTGCCTTTCAAAGCAACGAATCCAGAGATAAAGAGTGTGAATTCCAAGGTCCAAAGACATCTGATTTAGTTGTCTATTGTAAGCCATTACAAAGTCATTCATTTTTATAGGATTTAACCCACATATATTGCCAACTTGATAAGAATCACTTAATGGAGAAATAAGAGTGGAAACTTTCCTATCAATCATAGTGCATTCTAACTTGTGTTTGACTTAAAATAAGTCTATGGTTGCTCTGGGTTCAGTTGACATAAAAAAATCATATTCTATTTTAACAACTTGCTGATTCTCCTTAACGTATTGCATTCTAACAGGATGTCAATATTGGTTTGAGGATGTTTTTGGGTTAGTCCAAAGAATAACATTAGTTATTTTTTTTTTAAATTTTTAGAAGAATATTGCAAGGCTCAGGTAGTTTCGATTTATCCATAACTTTCCAAATTCTGTTTGTAGTATGATCCATTATTCCTTGAATATTCACAGAAGCGCTGTAGTTTGATGTTACAATTCCGGAATCTGGAATGCAATCACTTTTAGCTTTCACAATAAAGTTGTAGGCAGGGTTTAACATGCAACCTTTATCTAAGGTCCCTTGACAGATAGTTTGATAATCAGTCATGCTCATTCTAAAGTCATTAAAGCTAAAGCTTCTTGAGCTGAGTAGATTTTTAATTCAAGCCATAAAGACTGTAACTAAAGAAAAGTTTAAAATTTGTATTTATTAATTTTTTTTTTTCTAAAATCTAAATTACTTCAACAGCGGTTCTCGGTGACAAGACCTGTATGGTCTTCTTTGAGTACCCGCGTTCTTTATCTTTATTCTTTATTTTCTAACGATTTTTTTGCATGTAATTTTTTTTTTATTGATAAATTTGTAAATATTGTATTAAATATTGTAATAAAGAATAAAAAAAAAAAAAAAAAAAAAAAGTAGCTTTTAGAGCATGGTATATTACAGAATTTATCAGTTTTACTTTCCATCAAATGTTTGATAACTTCGGCATCTTTAAATCGTCTTTCTTTATTGAAATTAAGAATAAGGGCGTGAAACATACTTTCAGTGATAACACCTAACTTTTCACTAATCTTTGAAGATCTTCTTTTCTTAGACCTTGTTGAGAGATCTCAAAATGATTTTAAAAGTGCTGTAATAAAATATTGCATCCGCCTAGAATATCATATCCCCCATAGCAAAATTGAAAACGCAGACACGCTTTAAAGTTACAGCATTTAGAAGTGTACCTAAGCCGTCCAAAAGAACTTTAGTAAACAGCAATGATATATTATAACATAAAAAAGACAGACATCCAGTGGAAAATAAAGAGCCTCAAAGTAGAAAAATACTAAAAACTGATATAAGTAAAATGTAGTAAAAAATAAATAACAATAATAATAAATCACAGTCAAGAAAAGTCATTAGTTGTTGTGCTACTAAGTTGTTGTTAGAGTCGAGAGTAAATGTGATCTATAGATAGAATTAGTAAGAAGTAGAATTGGTAATGGAGTAGAAAACAGTGCACCTCGTTGTACATTTTTTATCATAACTTGCTGTTGAGGTTCGTTTACAATAAATTTCATATTTAACCATTTCTTTTTAAAGTTTTCGGTTAACCTCATCTGATTGTAGTTCGGATAACATGGAGAAATCAATATACAAATTTCAGTTTTTGCTTCCTTACTAATTAAACTTTCATATTTATTTTCATACTTTCCTTTATTTAAGTAATCGAAAACGTCTTTATGTCCATTTAAAAATAGCTTCATCACTAAATAACTAATAGTTTTGATTATTTTGTTTATTCGATCCTGTTTATTTAATTGTTTATTTATGTTTTGTTTGGTCCGCTTTTATACTAGATTATTCCGCTATTCATTATCACGGTTGAAACGCATTAAAAAACATCGGGAGTAAGAGGGGGAGCGCGTTTTAGTTTAAGTACATCATGTTTGGAATGACACTACCCAAGCGTAAATTATATTTTCCGTGAAAATTCACGGAAATTAAGAAGCAATTTTGGCTATTTTCCGTGAAAATGACGTATTTCTGAGTGAACCAATAATCAACGTTTAAAAATTTAAAGAATATAGGAGACAAGTCTTGTAGTGTATGAATATCTATAATATAATGACAATAGATTTATGTAGGATTAATTTTAATATCGATTGACATATATTGTCAATCAAAATTGAATCGGTTGTTTTAGAAACATGTCAAACGCCAAAATTAAAAAAAATGAGTTAGGTTCAATTTATTATTCTTTAAAGATAGACGCATCGTATTGTGCAGAAACCCGTCAAGTACCGAATATCCATAGCTATTAATTTATGGTCAAATAGTGTGTTAAGTGCAGAAATCCGTCAAGTGACGGTGCTTATCGCCTTTCTGCGATAAACTGTGGGAATTTGTATTCTGATGTATTTATAAATTGTATTTATTATTAATCGAACTAGAATGGCGTATTCTTTTCCCATTTATTATTGTTTTAACATGTGTTTGCTGTTGATATTATCTTTGACAATACAATTATTTGATATTACTTGATCAAACGTGCGCTAAAACACGTGTTAGTGATTTAATGTTTTGTAATATTATATTTATTTTTAATAGTCTTTATTAAGGTGAAAAATAATGTCTAGTACAGAAGAAAACGAACCTCAACTTAAACGGAGACGTGGAGTGGTTTGTGAGGAAAATTACCAACGCAATAAAATACGTAGTGCTAGAGTTAAAGGTAAAGCCTATAAAAACTTCAGCAATAAGCAAATTTCCAGCAAAATTAAACCACAGGGTATTTTATGTAAATGTATTTTTAAATGCTCTTCAATCATTAACAAATTAGTAATAGACCAAACATGGGATAATTTTTATTCGCTAGAAAATAAAAACATCCAGGATACCTACACACAAACTTTGATTGAGGTTAAAGATGTCCAACGTAGACGTAAAAAAAAACGTAGGAAACAATGTAGGCTGTGAGAATTTTGACGTATCTGTAGATAACAACGTTCATATTCTACCTTTTAAGAGGAATCACTCATATTTGTACAATCTTAAGGTAAATGGTATATTAAAACCTGTATGAAAAAGTGTTTTTATAGAAATTCATGCAATTTTACGCGATAGGTTAGAGAGGATTTGTCATTTGCTGCTTCAGAATAAAACTCCGACTGATAAAAGGGGCAAGAGCAGAGTGGAAATGCCAAACCTGGAAAGATTTTGGTACGCATTCATAACCACATATCTAAATTTGATGTAAAAGATACACACTATAGTGAGAAACCTTTAAAGTACTTAGATCCCCGGTTAACTATTAAGAAAATGTACGACATGTTTATCATTGACAATCAGGACCTAAAAGATGAAGTTAAATACAACTTTTTCTACAATAATTTTAAGGAAAACTTTGGATATTCTTTCGGCCGGCCTTAGGTAAATCTGTGTAGTACTTGCAAAAATCTTAACTCTAAGTTAAAAGATAAATGTTTAAATGATAATGCTAAACGCACTGCGGCTGCTGAACTCTTAATTCACAAGAGAAGAGCGAAAAAGTTCTATACTATCATGGAGTCAGCGGCTGCTAACAAAGATGATGACACTTGTGTATTATGTTTTGATTATATGCAAAATTTGCCTCTGCCTAATATACCAGTCCAAGAAATACCTTATATGCGCCAACTGTGGGTGAATGTTTTTAGTATACACGACATGAAAACCAACAAGTCTAAAATTTATATTTATTATGAAGGAGAGGCCAACAAATCACCAGATGAGATATGTAGTTTCTTACAAAATTACATAGAGAAAGGAATACCAAGTACTGTGAAATATCTAATACTTTTCAGCGATGGCCCATCTGGTCAAAACAAAAATCACACAGTTGTGTGTTTTCTGTTAAACCTATGTGATAGGAAGACGTTTTCAAGTATCATTTACAACTTTCCTGTTCGAGGACAGTCCTACTCAGCCTGTGATCAAGACTTTGGTACTATAAAACGTTCGTTGAGGTAAGTTGACCGTATATATACGCCAGAGGAATATGCTGAACTAATTTCGAAGGCTAGCACCAAAAATCGTTTTTCAGTTTACCAAGTGAAAACAGAAGACATTTTAAGTTTTAAGCA